ACATCCAAAACATATAAACCACCCAAAAATCAAATAAAGACAAAAGAAAACTCAAATGAGCATTGGGAGACCTTTAATTTCCCTCCCTCCCTCCCTCCCTTCCTGTCTTTTGCCATTTTTAGGATGGTTAGGGATAGGTTGTGTGTGGACCACAGAAAAATGCCCACTCTTCCTCTGAAAGAAGTTCCTAGATTTACCAGACAAATCCAGATATCCTCTGCTTCTATATTTTATTGATTGATTGATTGATTGATTGATTGATTGATTGATTGATTGATTGATTGATTGATTGATTGATTGATTGCATTTGTACCCCGTTCATCTAGTCAACTGACTACTCTGGGTGGCTATCCTGTAACTAGTGAAAACATACAGACTGACTATATAAATGTCCTCTTACTTTCTATCTGTTAAAAAAACAGATCAAGTCAGATTACAGCAATTTCAGAATACAGTAATATACTGAATGAGAGTATGTAATTTTTAGACTTTCTTCTTCTCCACTGAAGCAGCTCAGCTTTAGCCAGTTGTTTCTTATTCTGAAGCTGCCTTGGGCCCAACTTCACTCTTACTTTTCTTTGTTCCTGTTACATTTTGAATCTTGTCTAGGTCTCATGTGCATGGCTTTCCCATTCTGGCAAGATTTCCTCCCAAGTCACATCTTGCGTGCCTGGTGCTGTGGGTAAAGATCAGGCACCATAAAACCTTTGCCAGGACTTGCCTGAACATGTTGGATGGAACCTATTGCTATGACAATTAAACACACAAGGCAGAACTGCCAAGACGTAGCTAGGGGAACTCTTGTTATTATAATCCTAAGTGGTCCTCTGTATTTTCATTTCTCAGAGTGATTCATCTGAAAGTCACCCTGTGAGACAGTTCCACTTCACTGCCTGGCCCGATCATGGTGTTCCAGAAACAACCGACCTCGTTATTAGTTTCAGGCATTTGGTTCAAGAATACATGAAACTGCACCCAACTTCTCCGACTTTAGTGCACTGCAGGTAAAAAGATGATTGCACTCTTGTTTTTTGAAGAGCCATTTTAAATTTTGTTCTTTAACCATCGTGTCTGGAGGGTTAGAATTATTTCATCATACGTGTTAGAAGCCACCAGGAGAGTCATCTAGGATAGATATTAGGATGAACAGGATGTTGGCTGTCTTTTCTCATTGGATTTGTATAGCCACATCATAAAACCAGTTCTCAGCATGACTCTTGAGTGCTGAAGAAACCTACGTTACAACTCCCACTCAGCCACAAAACTGCTTGGGAAACCTTTAGCCAGTCATTACATTTCAGTGTAACCTACACCACAGGGTGGTTATAAGGATAAAAATGGAGAGGATCAAGTATGAATTCTGACATTTCTTGAGGGAAGACAGGATGAAAATGTAGCTTTAATCAATTAATTAGCATATACTATAAATACAACATAAAATGTTCCTGTGCTAGTTATACAAGTAGCAAAATAGATTATGTCCATTTTCCTGCATCATGAAAATCAAATAATGATGTGTTATTGTGCAGATATACGAGCTATATGGGAGGTCTCTTTGAGAAAGCTGACTGAAGGCAAACATGGAACTGTTAAAGTTATACATAATTATCTTTCTGTCTTACAGTGCTGGTGTTGGAAGGACAGGGACATTTATTGCACTTGACCGTTTGATCCATCAGATGGAGATGGAGAATACAGTGGATGTGTATGGTGTTGTGTATGATCTTCGAATGCATCGGTCCTTAATGGTGCAAACAGAGGTATGAGAGGTGGCCACGCTAAAAATGCAAACCTGATTCAAGGTTTAGGAAATGCATAGCTCTCACAGCTACTTCAGTTTTGTAAGGACCATTCTGAGAACCTTCCTTCGAAGTCAGTAGAGTTAACATAGAATTTGGTGGAACAAGGGTGTGTGGGTGTCTGTGTGTGTGTGTTCATCTAATGATTTTTTTACTTCAATTGCATGTATAATCTCTCCTTGAAAAGATGCGTCATTTGAATACAGTACTCTGATATGTATTTAATTGTCCTTTCCTCCCCTTCTTAGGACCAGTACATCTTCCTGAACCAATGTGTTTTGGATATTATTAAATCCAAGAAAGAAGCGAAGACAGACCTTATCTATCAAAACACAAATGCCATGGCAATCTATGAGAACTTTACACCATCCCCACACACTGGAAAGGCGAATGGCTACCACGTATAAACTGCAAAGAAACAGTGTGCCTCCTGCCTCTTCCACGGTAGAGGGAAGATGCACTGTTTTCACACATCTTTATAAACAGAGATTGATTTCACTTTTAAAATAACTGATTTGAATATACACATGTTGAAGATGCCAACAGGAACTTTTGTTTTCTATGTAGTGTTAAAGGGACTATATCTTGTATTTTGCAGAGGACACCTGCTTATAGTGTTAAAGGGACTATACAGTATCTTGTATTTTGCAGAGGACACCTGCTTGGAAAGAAGATAAAGAAGCATCACATTACTGGTGAAGTTAAATTGTGTTGATTAAATTGTTTCAAACCACAAAGGTTAAAAATGACTCATACCTTTTTGGATTGCTTTTTAAAAAAAAATCAGCTCATGTTCAGACTTTGTTGGACATTGATTCTGTTCTAGAGATTGCCAAGTAAGACACACCATGTTAGTTTGTTGCTGCAAAAATAACGAATCTTACAGAACGTACATCCTCCGTATTCCAGAATTCTTAATTTGTGTATATTGGTTGCTTTAACCAATGAACTTCTATGTAATGGTGGCTGTTCAGGTTCCTTTTATTTAAAAGCAGAACACAGAAGCCTTTTGCAAATAGGATATTTTATTATGGATTTGTGCCTTTTTTCTAGCTATTTTGCTAAAGACAAAATACTCAGAGTCCTATATTTTTGTACTGAAAATTTTCAACTTAAATTAGAATGCTTAACATAAGAGTAATAGTTTCTTATTTGGAATAGCTTTGCTTATTCTTCCCTTGCGGAGGTGGCAACCTGTTCCTTATATTTCTCATTAGTCTGCAAAGACTTCATTGTAGATTAAATTCACTTGATCATATGAGGGCGATAGCAACTGTCCAATCCCTTTATTGTATACAAATATGTTGCCTATGAAGGATGGAGCTTTCTTATACAGCTCAGTTGACTCTTGCCCTCTTTCACTTTCATATTGACACTTTTTTTTCTTTAAATTGCCAGTTGTTCCAGATGTCTCCATGTTCTTTCAGTGCCTTTTCGCTTTCATATTGACACTTCTTTTTTTTCTTTAAGTTGCCAGTTTTTCCAGATGTCTCCATGTTCTTTCAGTGCCCTTTTCTGCCCAGGGATAATGCTGCTTGTCTGTGCCATTTTCCTCTTCTGCTGACCTCAGTTGCCCTCAACCTCATTTGCTCACAGTGCAATGTAATTGGTTGGACCAATGTCATAACTCTTCTCTTTTCCTGCCCATGAATATAAACATGTGAATCACTTAAATGATTACAACATAAGTGGCAGTGAGGACAAAGGACACTGTGGTCAAAATAAAGGAAAATGATGAAGGAGCAAGGTAGTAGGGGGCCAAGCACATTTAAAAATGTTAATGTTTAAAATGAGTGGGATTTTTTTTACCATAACTCTGCTTTGTTTATTATAATAAAATGGCCAATTTCAAAGTAAATACTGAAATTAGAGAATGTTTGGCCCAGGCAATACAGTACCTATCAGTACTTGCCAAAGGAGGAGTATTAAATGGCTACTGTTGATTGTGTAAAAACTTGACATGATGTCTCAAACTGTGTGGAAAGGCAGTCATCTACAGCTTTTGTTAGTTCTGGCATTACACACATTGTTTCTGCCTCCTCAGGTTTCAGAACATTTAGAGGAGAGTAGTAATGTTGATATTCCTGTGTGCAAATAAGCTGCAGTCAACTGCATTTCCATCTGGTGGCAACTATCTCATTGGCAACTTAGAATACCCACTGTTAACAGTTTATTTAAACTTGCTGCACTTGGTAATGGTCGCCTCCATTGATCTTGATGCTTGACCCTTAGTTGGTGTCATTAAAGGAGGAGGAAGAGGGCTATGTATCAAACTGAGCTTCAACTGTTATCTTTGTGTGAGTGTTTGCTGTATGTGGCCCTCCCTGTCCTAGCTGATTTCCCCACCCCGCCCCCCATGTTCTTGTATGTTCTAAGGATTTATTTAAAAGTGCAATATTTAATTTACTGAATGAATGATTGCCTCTATTTCCATAGAGTTTTACTCAGGTTACCTATCTCTTCCTTTTTGTCTTGTGGTTTGTTTTCCTAAATGTACCATTTGTGGATGTCCGAAATAACTCCTATGACAGAGTGATCTTAGGAAAGTTCATTGACTTTAATGTTCATAGAAAATGAAATGTACAAAGATCTGCTGACTGCCAACTGCAGAAATCTTTTAGCCAGTTAAAACTGAGATATATATTTTAATGTCTTGAGTATAAAAGATATATCATTGCTCTTACTGGGTTTTTTTGTTGTTGTTTGTTTGTATTATGCTGCTGTAGGTTGTAATGGATACGATTAATGCAAATTGAAGGGTTCTGCATTAAATTAATATTGTTGGTACACTGAAGCTAAGATTATGTGAAAGCATTGTTAATGAAGGACTTGGGGTTCTAGAAATGGGAGGTAGTTACTATTACTATTAGAATTTTTAATCAATGCGCTGGCAGCATTAGAAATTCATATATTATTATTAATTTTTGAGAATATTATAGAGCTAATCGATACAAAATTTTCATTTTGTGGCCTCTCTTCCTTCATTTTCTTTTGGACAAAACCAGTGCTTGGGAGGGTTTAATTTTTGGATTCCATCTCCCAGAATCCTCCAGACAACATGGTCTTTCCAATCTCTGGAAAGCCAATTGAAACGCATTTAGTTTGTGCAACCAAAATGTAAGTTATATTAAACATTGCATGGTTACTTGGGTACCTCAGAAGTCTTATTTGTAGAGCACCATCTACTATACCGTTTGGAAGAAGGTTGCTCTAACATATGCAAATAGTTTTCCAGTCTGTTCTCCTCCTGCAGAAATCAAGCTTTTGTGGCTGTTTGTCACTTTTGCCTTTAGAACACCATTTCACATCTGCCACATTCCATGGCAAGAGTTTCCTCCGTATAATTATGTAAGACTTCAGCAAACCTAAATGAGCAGTTGTTTTGGAGGATGTATTCCCAGATGGGAGGACAAAAGGAACTCCCAGGGTAGCATATAACTCACAATTTGTATAGCACTTGCCTGTATCATTTTGAGGGCACAGGTTGGTGAAAACCAGTAATGCTTTCAAAAAGTGTGTTGTTTTCTCTGAAGATCATCAATGTTTAAGGAAGAAGCTTTGCACAAGACTTAACTAAAATAAAAAACAATTATCTGCAATCACCCAATCCTAACACCGTAACTGATGCTAGCAGCCTTTACACATAACTGCAATAACCACCATTCACATGTAAATATCTTAACTTAGGAATTTGCCTAGTGAACTAAGGTCTTAGATCAAGAACTGGTGTATTAATTTTCTTGCTTTTGTTTTTGCCTTGTACCTGCCCATTTGTACATCATTGATTGCCACACCAACAATGTTGCCATGGCTGATGGCCGTTTCCTACAGAAGTGACTGGCATTCTTTCTAGGCCAAGAAGATGTTTTAAGAACAGTGGGCCTAAACTCTGTGCTGGTTAATGAAAGTTGGCACAGTGCACTCTTTGCTTTTTTACTCTTTCTACTTTCCAGTTAATCCCTTTGCTTCCACTTTCCACATACCATTGGGTGTTCATGGGTGCTACTACGTTGTTGCCTTTGATATGTGGATAGCAATTGTTCCTAGATTCAAGTATTTAGATTTGAGCCTAGGAAATATTGATTGTAATTATTAAAATTATTAATTGCCTATCACTCTCATAAGCAATCTGACTAAGGGTGTGGGTGGTTTGAAAGGTGTTTTAGTCAATGCCATAGGAATCCAATCATTTAAAAATGATTATCTGTCTATAATGGAAATGTAACATAATTATCTGAAGTAGCCTAAGCAACAGACCTTACAAACATTCCACTTTGGGGCTCTAATTCCCAGAATCCCCCAGCCAGCATGGCCATTTATATGGGGATTCTGGGAGTTCTAGTTCAAACATGGAAATTTCTGCAGGCTCTGCTAAGCACTTGTTTTTCCAGCAGGGCTGGCCCAGCTGACCATGTGAAGTAGATCACCACAGATGCCAGATACTAAGGCAGCAACAAAGGTTCTCTAATTGTCAGTTATTTCATGGATAATTTTGACCACTATTAAGGGCATTATTGATTTTCCTCAGGCACCAAAATGCCTTAGTCTGTCCCACTCAGCAGAGGAACAGTCTTGCTGGATTCCTAATGAAAATGGCCTGAAAAGTTGTGGTTTCTCAATGGTCTGTTTGTTATATAATTTCCTTTTGATCTAAGCTTTGATCACAGAAACTTCAGAGGGCATCCTTAATGTTGGCTGGGATGGTTCATATGATATGTTTGTAGCCTTAAAAATGGGAGAAGCAACTTAAGGGCTAGGGAGGAGAGAACTGTAGATGTTGACAAGAATCTTGCTTGCCCTTTTTGCCACTGTCGTTCCCACTGCCAGTGAGAGAAGCCGCTGGTCTCTCAGATTGACATCCTGCAGGCACCCACATGGATTGTTAAGTCCTTTTTAAGTCAGTGGGAATTACCTCAGAGAAGATACGCCTACAATTTCACTGTTAAGCAGGGGGACAAATGTAACGCCAAGATCCCATAAAAGCATTATGTGTCTTCCTTCTTTGGATGTGTGCCAGTATTTCTAACTGCATATTTTTTTTCACGTGAGGCCAAACTGTAAAAAGGGAGTGTTCTTTGTGCATCAGTTGTTGCTGTTATGATCGTGTTTCCAAATTATGTACAATTTCACTGTGTTTTCAACCATTCTACAGATGTTTGGAGTATATCATTCTTAATTTTAATGGTTGGATTGTCTTTTCAGTGACATAAACCTAACTAAATGAACTAAATAAAACATTGACATCTGGGCATTGAATGTGTATTCTTCTGATACTCCATTGTCATTTAATCAAAGTCCACCGTTGTCTCATCTCTACAAGGATGATTTCAAGTCCTTCAGATCCAAGGCCTTGGATGGGTGTGGTGTGTGTGTGTGTGTGTGAGAGTGAGTGAGAGAGAGAGAGAGAGAGAGAAGGAGAATGAGAATGAGAATGAAAGAGATAAATTGTCCAGCTGCATGCTACTGTCCTGCAGGATGTTTTCCTTCCCTTTCCAAAGGCTGCACAGGACAGGTTCAGAATCCTTCTGTGTCCAGGCGCATATTGTAGCACTCTGTGTGTCAGAGTATGGATGTAACACATGCTTGCAAATGAATACTTGCAAAC